AAAAATGTCAAATTTCTTTAAATTAGAGACAAAGGAAAAAAATCTTGAAATGAGGCAGGAAAATAAAAAACAGGAAGAAAATCAATTAGATTGGCAACTCATCTCCCATCGTAAACCATATACACAGAGAAAGTGGCTATATATATACATATGTATATGTACATATATATATATATATTTATATTTATATATGTTTGCAATAGGATATGTGTGCTCCCTAGAGAAAAGACAGAAAGAGAAAGGGAGAAGGAGGCACCCTCCAATGGGGTGTGGCCATATCACAATCACTTCTCCACTTCATCTTTTGGGGATTTGGGGCATGCAAATCCTGGTATATTTTTCAATCCTCTGGCAAATTCAGGGTCAGGATTCAAACTGTGGTCAACCATGTGGAATCTGACTCCCTTAGCCACCAGGCAACAGGGCTAGCCCAGCAAAATTGTTTTCAACAGCTAAAAAAAAAAGAACTGCTAATCTAGAGTCCTATAACCAACAAAAAACATCCTTCCAGAATTAAAGGGAAATCACAATATTCTAAGATGAAGGAAAACTAAGAGAATTTGTCACCAAAGAACTACTCCAGAGAAATGGCTAGAGGAGCACTCAAAACAGAAGGAAAATGGTACAAAGAAGCATGAGACATATAATAAGCTTTCTTCTCATGTGTTTCTAAAGCATGAGAACACAACCATAAAGTAACATTTATAAAACTATCTGATGAGGTTCTCAATGTATATAAAGGAAATATTTAAGACAATTTGTTATAAACAGGAAAAGGTAAAGGGATGTAAAGGGAAAAGGTGTTCCTCTACTTCAAGCAAACCGAAGTACAGTAACAGTTGACTGCATTCGATTATGTCTACATAGCGTAATACCTAGAACAAACACTAACAAATTCTACGAAGAGATACATTCAAAAAGCCATAGATAAATCAAATAGAAATGTTCAATTAATTCAAAATAAGAAAGGAAAAAAGTAAACAGAGAAGCAAACAAAAAAGAGAAAACGAAACAAAAAATAAAATGGCAGACTTAAGTTGTAACGTATCAATAATTACATTAAGTGCAAATAGTCTAAATACATCAATTAAAAGAAAGAGATTGAGGTGGGGGGACTCAACTCAGCTGGATCCCACATGGCCAACTGTGGTCTCATTCCTGACCCCAAGTGGCCCGAAGAAAACACTGGATCATATGTGTACATGTCCACATGCCTGATGGGATAGAGAAGTGGAGGAAGGATTGTGGTATGACCAATGTGTGTGGGAGGTGCTTTCTCTCCCTGTTTTTCTCTTTCTCTCTCCCCCTCATTTTCTCACTTTTTATCTGGTAAGCACATGTGCCCTCTGGCAATAAATAATGACCCAACTGTATATGCTGTCAGATTCAACATATTCGCTTCAAATAAAATGGCACTGGTAGATTGAAAATTCAAAAATGGAAAAAGATATATCATACAAGCAGCAATAAAAGGAAAATAAGAATGACCCTACTAACGCCTGGTAAAATAGACTTTAGAGCAAATAAAATTACCAGAAACAAAAGAGGTGTTACATAATGATTAAAGCCACCAAGAAGTGGGTTATACCAAAACCAGACAAAGCCACAAGACAAGAAAAGAAACAAACAGTGGGCCAACCCCATAGCCTAGTGGTCGAGGGAGCCGGATCTCACCATGGCAGACCATGGTTCAAACATAGACCCCAGTGACTTGAAAAATGTGCCAGGCACATGTGTGTACATGCCCCAAATCCCCAAAGGATAGAGAAATGGAGAAGGGACTATAGCATGACTACCCCTCATTGACAGGTGCTTGCTCACTCGCTCGCTCTCTCTCTTTCTCTTTCCTCTTTCTCTGGCAAGTGAACATGTCCTCTAGAAATTAAAACAAAACAGAAAAATACAGACAAGTATATTCTAAAATAAAAAATCCTGAGAAAAATATTAGCAAGTAAAATTCAGTCATATATAAGCAGGATTCACCACAACTCACTGGGGTTTATTCTAAAGGTGCAAGGTTCATTCAATACAGGAAAATCAAGCAAAGTAATCAACCATATTAACAGGTCATTGAAGAAAAATCACATCAATTGGTGTGGGAAAATTATCTGATAAAATTCAACACCTATTCATGATCTTAAAAAGAAGAAAAAGAAAGATAAGAACAGAAGGGAAATTTCTCAGCTTGGTAAAGAGCAAAAACAAAATACCTATGGCAACATTGTACTTAATGGTGGAAAAACTGAAATGCTTTCTCCTAAGATCAGAAATAAGGTAAGAGCATTCATTCTTATTCAATGTAGTGCTGAAATGTATACAAAAGAAATGAAGTTTTAGCCAGTGTTATAAGGAAAAATAAAATAAAATAATTAAATATGAAAAGGAAGATATGATTGTCTATACACAGAAAATCCCAGGGAGTACACAAGACAAAACAAACTCTTAGTACTAGTGAATACAGTATACAAGACAAACACAAAAACCAATTGTATTAGGGCTAGAGGGTGGCCTGGTGGTTAAGGTACCGGTATCCCACATGGCCACCTGTGGTTCAAGTCCCCAACCTGGCAACTTGAAAAATCACACTGGGAGCTTGTGCATGCATGCCCCAAATCCAAGGAGAATAGAGAAGGGATTACAACATGGTTATCCCCTGCCCCAGAGGGGGAGTGATTTCTCGCTTTGTCTCTCCCTGTCTCTCTGTTGACCACACATGCCCTGCAAAAAAGATCTCTCAAAAAAAAAAAAAAAAGTCAATTGTATTGCTATATACTAGCAATGGATATTTGGTGGCTGCTAAATTTTAAAATATGATACCATTTACAATAATTAACTAAAAAAAAATGTGGCATATTTAGGTATAAATCTAACAAAACATGCCCAGACTTCTATATGGAAAACTACACAATGTTGATGAAAGATATCCAAAAGATCTAAACAAAGGGAGAGACTTATTGCATTCATGGGCTAGATTGACTTATAATAAAGTTACAGTCCTGAGCCAGCAGGTGGTGTGGAGGTTAGGGCAGTTGGATTTCACATGGCAGCTTGAAAATCACACCAGGTGTGGGTGCATCCATGCCCCAAATCCCAGGAGGAGAATGGAGGAGAAAGGATTGCAGCATGGCCATCCTCCCTGGGGGGTGATTTCTCACTTTCCCTCTCATGCTTGCTCTCTGTCCCCAGTGAGCACATAAGCCCTATGGCAAACAAACAAACTGCTATGAGGTATCACTATATCACTACCTACCTATCAGAACGGCTACGGTAAGGAAAAAAAAAAAAAAGAATGACAACAACAAATTCTGACACAGATGCAGAGAAACTGATCACTCAGATATTGCTAGTAGGGATGTAAAATGGCAGAGTTTGGCAGTTTCTTTAAGAGTTAAACATGCAGGACCAGCAGATGATGGCTAATGGTTACGTCGCTGAACTCCCATGTAGTCAACCACAGTTTGAGTGCTGGGCCCAGCAACTTAAAACACACCGCATGTGTGCCTAAGATCCTGAGAGGAGAATGGAGGAGAAAGGATTGCAGCGTGGCCATCCACCCTGGGAGGTGACTTCTCACTTTCTCTCTGTCTCTCTGTCTCTCTGTGTCTCTCCAGCAAGCACATGCTTCGTATAGCAAAAATCTCTCTAAAAAAAAAAAAAAAAAAAAGCTAAACATGTAATAGTCACACAGCCTAGCAATTGAGCTCCTGGGCATTGATCTTAGAGAAATGAAGATGCATATTCACACAACAATCTGTACACAAATGTGTGTGGCAGCTTTATTCACAGTAGTCCCAAGCTGGAAACAATCTAGTTGTCCTTCAATGTGTGAATGGTTAAATGTAAAAAAAAGTAATGGTTAAAAAATAGTATTGCATCATATCATGCAAAAATGTTTCAGCAACAAACTATTGATAGACACAACCAAAATGCATCGCCAGACAATTATGTTGAGTGGGAAAAAAGTCAATCCCAAAAGATTACATCATGTATGATTGCACTTCTGTAACATTCTTAAAGTGACAAAATTGTAGGAATGGAGAATAGATTCGTGGTTGCCAGGAGCTGTGGAGGGGGTGAGAGCAGAAAGGAAGGAACTGCGGCTGTGAAATGGCAACCCGAGGGATCTTGATGGCGATGAAAATGTTGTGTCTTGACTGTATCTGGGTCAATATCCTGGTTATGATACTGTGCAAAGAGTTTGACATATTGTTACCACTGAGAAAAATTGAAGAAAGGGTACATAAGATCTCTATTACAATTATCTCAAAATAGAAAGTTTATTTTATTTATTTATTTATTTATTTATTTATTTTGGAGAGGTTTTTGCTATAGTGCACATGTGCTCGCCAGACAGACAGAGAGAGACAGAGACAGAAAGTGAGAAATCACCCCCCAGGGGGGATGGCCACGCCGCAATCCCTTCTCCTCCATTCTCTTCTCGGGATCTTGGGCACGCATGCACACGCACTTGGCATGAGTCTTAAGCCACCAGGTCCGGGACGCGAACTGTGGTCGACTACATGGGAGTCCAGTGACATAGCCATTATGCTAACTGCTGGTCTCTATTTATTTATTTATTCCACCTGCTGCCTCATCTGTCATTCTCTGCTCATCCCTGCAATCTTCTAAACTCTCTGACCCTTCCCAGCACTCACCACACTTTTATTTTATTAGAATTCCTGTCCATAGTCAATGAGAACAATTCTCTTAACCTCCATCACCTTATCTATAATATGTGGATAACAGCAGGAGTGACAGAGCTGATGTGAGGTTGAAATGGCATAACTCACATAATGAACTTACACTGCCTGGTGTACAGTAATCCCCCAAGAAATCTTAGGATTTATTTTCTTTCAGTATGGGAGTCAGAGTTATGCTCAGTCTCACAGCAGACACTTAAAGTAATCCTGGTATTCCAAGTCGGAACACTGAAAATATTTCGCCATAGAAACACTGTGATCATATTCTACACTATTATTACTCCTAAAAATTCTATGATTTCAGTTCTTCAACTTAACTCTATAGGTTAAATGGACTGTTTTAGACTGGCCCAGCAAAACTAACCATAATGAAGAACATTATGGCAAGGGGAAAATGTGAGTTCTAATCAAATCCCTTATGAATGGACTTTTGAGATAGAATGCCCTCTAAAGTTAGGTATTGCCTAGAGTTTAATGTAAGGAAAGATGCTTTGAATACAGTAAGTGTATCAAGCTGATGCATGGCAGATATTTTAAATGCTCGGGGTCAAGGGTGAAAAAGCAAACTAAACTATAAAGAGAACCAGACGAACTGGGGGGCATGGATGGAAGTTAACAGGAAGGACAATCCTTGGGAAGGAGCTTCAGTACAAGGAAAACAGGACCCTAAAAGCAATGCCAAACGGGGTACTACTTGGTGAAGAGTCTGTGAAAACAGAAAGGTCTTAACCAGAAGCTTGTAGGCATATATCTGGGACCCAAATGGAAAGGGAATAGATAGACCCATAATTTGAGAATGAAATTAAATAGCTAGGAGAAATACAAAACCACAACTTCAAGGCCAAGAACCTAGAAGAAACAGATTTGGGACCTTTTTGTGAAAGTGCTTGATAAGGATTGAAAAGCACCATAAGCTGAAGCTAAACTGAAGGGTTTCAACATTTAGCATTTAGCATTTAGCAAATGCTTTTAGATGAAGCCAACTTCACTATAGTAAAAGTTCAGCATAACATTGACCTTCTGGGTACACTGGACAACAGTAAGCAGGGTGGAAAGGGCTGGGGAAGGGATATTCCAAGATTAGAGGAAGTGGGGAAAATAGCTGGCTTTTGGTGGAGGCTCAGTCTCCTGCATAGTGGACCAGCAGGAGCCAAGAAGTAACCTGAGTGAGACCCAAGTCTATCTGGGGCCTTGCTGGGCCCTGTCTCAACCTCACTAATGCACCAGGCATCTGTGCATTTGTGTATCTGTGATACACGTGAACCCTAAAATGTCACTGAGATCGTCAGTGATGTTGAAACCCAGCTAGTGCACAGGAATCCCAGGGATGCACCCTGCAGTCCCTCTCCACATCCCTGACCGTGGTCATCACATTTCTGCTGGAATACCCTTAATCATTGCTCATAAGGCACCCCTCCTCTCACCAGAAGAATGTTCTCTGTACAGCCTGACCAAATCCTCCCCCTGGAGACTTCTGGTTCCTGGTCCTCATTCTGCTGTCTGGTGCTGTAACTAAATCTAATCCTTCCTCCAGTGAGTCAGTTCCATTCCTCTAAACCTTCTCTATTCTAGGATAGATGGTCCACATCACACATCCTTGATAACCAAGTCAACAAGCATTGCATGATGGCCTGACGTAGGCAAAGACCAGGCATGTGCTAAGTGGGACCCTAAGGTGAATATTATTTCCTTGCTCTTCAGGCAAACTGAGTGAAGACACAGGCATGGACACGGGACTCTAATACAAAGAAGACTGATAGGTACAATATAAATATTCAAAGCTTACTGTGGTCTAGGTTTAGCGTGACTGGGGTCTGGGTTTGGGAAAAGAGTAAACCACCTCAGCCACAAGGATCTGGAAGGGTTTAAGAGGTGGGACTTGAGGGACTTGAAATACTTCAATAAGTGGATGGAGTAAAGAGGCAGGTACTGAGTGGAAATAATAGGGCATGGCCTTGTGGATCTTGGTTTCTTTTCTCATCTTTTTCTGTTTTGTTTTGTTTTGTTTTTCATTGAGAATAACTGCATGTACAATGTGGTGTTTATTATGTAGAATGACTAAATCCTGCTAATTAACAAGCCTACCACCTTCCATATTAGCAATTTTCTTTTTGTCATGAGCATGTTAAAAACCTACTGTCAGGACCAGTAGCTGGCATGGTGGTTAAGGCATTAGACTCCCACATAGTCAACTGCAGTTCAAGTCCCAGACCTGGTGGCTTGCTTTTTTACTTTCTCTGTATCTCTCTCTGTCTGTCTCTGGTGAGTGTGTGTGCTCTATAGCAAATTAAAACAATAATAACAAATAAAATTAAATAAATAATTCTAAAACAAACGTGCTCTCTTAGCGATTTTAAAATGTACAGTGCATTATCATTTATTATAGTCACGGTTCTGTGCAATAATTACTAATGCTTATTCTTCCTGTCTGACTAAAACCTTGAACCCTTTGATCAGCATCTCCCCTTTTCCTAGCCATTCTTCTCTCCCCCAGCCACTGGTAACCACCGTTCTACTCTGCTACTAAGAGATAAACTTTCGGATTTTACATATAAATGAGGTCGTGCAGTATTTATCTTTCTGTGCCTGATTTATTTTACTTAGCACAGTGTTCTCCAGGTTCATTCATATTTTTGCAAATAACAGGATTACCTTCCTCTCCCCTTTTAAAGTTAAATAGTATTCATTTGCGTGAGTGCATGCGCGTGTATATGTACACACTTTCTTTTTCATTTCTTGTTCCGTATCTTGGCTGTTACAAACAACTCTGCAATGAACATGAGAGTGCACATAGTTCTTCAACATACTGACTTCAATTCCTTTGAATAATGTTATGGTTTGGGTCATGGGGGTTCTCCAAAGTTTCATGGTTTGGGATTTGATGCAGGGAGGTGGTAAGGCCTAGTGGACAGTGAGTGGGTCATGGTAATTTCATCACGGAGACAACTCTTCTGTGAATGAATTCATGATGTCTCACAAGACTCAGAGAGTTCTAGATCTCATGAAAAGAGGTTGGTTCTCATGAGAGCTGGTTGCTATAAAAGAGAGAGAGAGCACAAGTGGCTGACTGCCTCTTTCTGCATGGGCCCACCATTCTCTATGCTTCTATGGCCATGCTGTAGGCCTACACCTTTGGACTTTTTTTTTTTTAAAGAATTAATTAATTTTATTTATTCATTCATTTTATTTATTTATTTATTTTAATTTGATAAGAAAGACACAGAGAGAGAGAGTGAAAGAGGGAAAGTGAGAAAGCAAGCCACCAGGTCTGAGACTCAAACTGTGGTTGGCCATGTGGGAATCCAATGCCCTTATCCACCACGCCACTTGCCGGTCCCACCTTTGGACTTTCTAATCACCAGAATCATGAGTTTTGTAAATAAACCTTTATCTTCTTTATAAACTGCCCAGTCTTAAGTAGTTCTGCTAGTAATACAATAGACTAATACAAATATATATCCGGAAGAGGGATTGCTGAATCAGGACCTTGGTTTCTTCTGTTTAATCTTGAGTATATCTAAAATGAAGGCTCGAAACTAAGTGATTTCTAAAGTCTAGTGATAGAGACTATGCAAAGTATAAATTTGAACATTTCAACTTAGATAAGAATCCAAAAATGTGAAGTGTGCCCACACAGAGAGTGGGGTACATGTTTGGGACAGAGGTGGTAGAGACGGAAAGGGGATCACTGATTCAATATTCCGCCTGCTACGTGGATGCAGCCCCCCCACCCCCCCGTCATACTGATCATGACCCTTTGGGACATCGACAATGTTCTTCTTAGAATAATAATCATGAGGGTCGGCCCCATTGCCTAGTCGTTAAGGGAGCTGCTCTCACATGGCCAACCATGGTTCAAAGCTTTGCCCCAGTGGATTGAAAAATACACCAGGTGGGGAACCAGCAGTTAGCATAATGGCTATGTCACTGGACTCCCACGTAGTCGACCGCGGTTCGTGTCCCGGACCCGGTGGCTTAAAACTCATGCCGGGTGTGTGTGCGTGCGTGCCCAAGATCCCGAGAGGAGAATGGAGGAGAAGGGATTGCGGCGTGACCATCCCCCCTGGGGGGTGATTTCTTGCTTTCTGTCTCTATGTCTCTGTCTGGCGAGCGCACGCGCCCTACAGTGAAAATCTCTCAAAAAAAAAAAAAATACACCAGGTGCACGTGTCCACATGCCCGAAGTCCCAAAGGGAGGGAGAGATGGAGGAAAAGGATTGTGACGTAATAATGCGTCACTGGGTGGCGGGGAATGCTTTCTCTCTGTACTTATCTGTCTCTTTTTCTGTCTCTGGAGAGTGCACGTGCCCTCTGTAGATTTTTCTTTTTAAAGAAGAAAGAATGGGGATGAGGTATCACCAGACCCATCAGCAGCAGCAACATTTCTGTAGCATGTCTATAAGCCAGATATGTTTGGAAGCACTTTACATCCCATTGAACCTTCATAACAGTCCCAATAAGATATGTACCGTTTTTATTATTAGAAAGCAGAGGCACTGAGAGGTTAGATAACGTGCCCATGTTCACAGAACTGGTCTACTGGCAGAACTAGGACTTGAACACAGGCAGTTTGTCTTCTGGCTTTATTTCCTCTATTAAAAACCTAAGGGCAGGGATGGAAATGGCTCTGTAGGCATGGCCTGCCTCACCGGGACAAGGGTTCAGTGGCCCCCTAACTTCTTTATCGCACTAATTCAGTCTTTAAAAACACCAGCTTTCTTGGAAGCCACATCACATGACGGCTCAAACTGAGCTGGCAATCTCCTGAAAAACCCTAAGACGTTTCTGACGGGGGCCCCTCTGCAGCTCAGTCTCTCCCATTCTGTCCATGTGCAGTTGATTAATTAATCCTAAATGTTGGGTTTTACACTGAACTCTACACAATTCTAAGTTTTAGCTTATAGTTTCACCCGACTCTATTCTGAAACATGATGTTATCCAATGTTATCTGTCCTAGCTTAGCAATAACATAGCAACAACAGCTGATAGTTATTAGGGCTCTGGTCTGGGGCCAGACTCCCTGCTAAAGGTTATTCACGTGGTGCCTTACCTAGTCGCTTAGTCTTTACGCAAAGTCAAATATCATTATTATTCCCCTTTCATAGACTAGAGAATCAAAGCCAGTAACATTAAGAAACTTGCTCAAAATCCAGTTAGGAAGGGATAGACCCAAGGTTCATATCCAAGATCGTCTGACTCCAAGGCCTGAACCATGGATAAACTATGGGTAACTCTGGATAAAACATAGTCTTTTCCCACTCTTTGCATCATCTGTTAACCTTGTCATTATCTACATCAATTATGAAAAATGTCAAACAGAATCAAGGACAGAACTCAGAGGTAAATTACCCCCTCCTGGGGAACGTGAGTCAGTCACGCATACAGTTATAAACAGAGACAGAGGCATTTTTCATATAATGCTGAGAGCTAGGGAATAAAGGGGTAGAAAAGTAAATCCAGAGAGGTCAAGTCCCTCATCCCATCAACACATACTTGGAGAACAAATGAGAAATTGTCTGAAAAGTTCGCAATCACAGTATCATCTAGCCTGCAACCCTCCGACTCGTTCACATGTAGCTCACAAGAGCTTTGTCAAAAGCCTTGCAGGAATGAACATGCACTTTGTCAAAGACACCTCTGATCGGCGGGAGGTGGGATTCATTTGTCCTGAGCAGCTCTCGGGAACACATGAAATCACCGATCCAACAGTTCATCAATTGCCCATTTAATGATGCAGTGGAGGACTTTGCAGGGAATTAACATCAGTGTGAGGTTTCTGAGATCCAACTGCCTGGAACTGTGTGCGTCAACCCCAGTCCAGTTCTCGGGCTCTACTCGGCGGTGGCCCTGGGTCTCTCTGCACTGGGCCAGAGACTGACTGGATACTGCTAAGCACACCTGTGCCATCTCTTCATCACCTTCTCTCAGTCGTTTCCAACTGAAACCATTTTTCCCTGGTAGAGAACAGAGAGAGCAAATTGACTCAGAGAAGTTCTGTTTCTCTCTACATTCTGTCATTGTATATGAACTCAAATAAATCCTTTCTTTTGTCTTTAAACTTTCCAAGAAACTTCATTTAGTCCAATGCTCTTATTGCAGGCCCGTTCCACTCTTTGCATGTGCTTTTTGTCACAGCCACTGACAAAGACTCTCTCCTTGACCCTACTAGGCCCTATCTTTGGGCATGTCAGCCCCACCTTCCATGTCTGGTCATCCCCTACAGCCAATCAAATTTCTCATTCCCAGTACCTCCCAGGTGATGCCTGATCATGCTGGCCCACCTCCAGTAAGAATCCTGTCAGGTTAGTTCAGCCAGAATACACCCTGACCCCTGATGTTTTCTCTTAGTAATTTCTTCTCCATCAGTTTCACCTCTCCTACCCACTCCTTGG